TGGGCGATTTTGGTGTCTCTGCGGAACATCCGGTTGCCACTTTCGGAACCACAGTTGAAAAATGATGCCGCAAGCTGCTCATTTCAGCCGTCCGTATGCATACATTTTTGCAACTGCATTTGTGTGACTTACGAGCGGTGTTCAGAAAGAGACTGAACTTTTGCTATATATTTATTGCCCACTGCACAACAATTTACGCACTTTCCTCCTCAAAGTAGCCCACACTACTGGCAATACACCGTTCCCTACGGTGCTTCCACTTTTGGAAAACTTAGTGCAATGCACTTTCTGGGATGGCGCGCTGGTCTGTTGTCGCATTTTCCCGTATCACCTCCATGATATGAAAACGACGTCCTTTCAACCTGGTTTTACGTTTAGGAAACAGAAAAATGTCTGCAGGGCTAGGTCCGGAGAATATAATGGATGAGGCACAACGGAAGTAATGTTTTACTAGATAGCTACGGACAAGGAACGATGCGTGAGCCGGTACATTGTCATGATGCAACATCCGAGTGCGGTATTTCCACGATTCATACCCCTTCCTGCGCACAGCATCCATCAAATGCGTTAGAATTTGTTGGCCTGATCCTACGCTGTTGCTCACTTCGTTAGCAACTTCTTGAACAGGTAAATGATGCTTTCCACGAATCAAATCACGAACTATTTTGTTACGGCCATCATTTGTTGATGGGAAGTCGTTCAGGTTGGGATCGTAACTGTTCGACATTCTGCTGTGTTCAAACCACGTAACGTACTTATAGCACTGTGTGCGAGTCATACACTCTTCCACGTATGTCTGGCTAAGCAAATTGAAATGTCTCTGTAAAAGGTTTGCTAATTTGTAGCCAAATTTCACACACAAGCGTTGTTCTTCAAGCTTTTTCATTGTCTCTATGGGACTAATCCGCCGAACAGCTTGTACACGTGCTCACTTCAGCGGCTGTAGCTTCCTAAACAACAGTCAGAACGAAACGCGGCAAATAGCAGTTTGTGGTCTAAGTAAGCGTTAAGTAGCCGAAGGGTGCTCCCTCTGCCGGTTGCAGCTCTACTTCAAAAGCTCGATTTCTTTATGAACACCAATCATATGTATTGTAGGCTATCAACGCATATTTGGTGAGTCGTAACTTCAGAAGTGACCACTAGATCTCTGCTTTGCAGGTGTTCTAGTAGGATGCTAATTGCGTTGCCAATTCAGCGTCTTACATTTTCAGCCCAAGTGAACTGCACCGCTTCTAATAGCTACTAAGAGGAGGAAAGTGATTTCAGAATGTCGCTTTATCAACGAGGAATGGGGAGTGACGTACTTCTTAGTAAAGAAAAAGGACTTTATTCAGCCGTCATATGCGGCGAAAGTATAACGGTTTTGAAAGAGGACAAGCTTCGGGGTTATTAGTAAACAGACCACTTAGTATACTCCAAATATTCTGGGAAGCAACGCTAGGAGATATGTCCATGAAAAGTGGTTTTAAAACATAAAGAAATTTATTCACAAGAAAGTTTACTGAAAAGGAAGCTGCTACTCGTACAAATTACAAAATAGCTCATAAGATGGCTGGACAAGGAAAACTATTTACGGATGGTAAGTTGATAAAAGAGTGTATAATGAAAGCAGTGAATGACCTGTGTCCTGAGAAGGTGGATTTGTTTTCCACTATCAGCATTTCGGCAAGTTCTGTTGTGTGGAGAACATAAGAACTTGGAGAGAACGTAGTGCTGCAGATACGCCAGAAAGCTAGAGACTATTTGTGATTTTCTCTGGCGCTGGATGAGTCAACTGATCTGTCGAGTACGTTACAACTCCTCGTGTTCATTCGTGGTATCAATTCGAGCTTTCAAATAACGGAAGAGGTGGCGTCGGTCTGCAGTATGCATGGAACGACAACCTGAAACGACATTTTCGTGGAAGTGAACAAAATCTTGTAGGATTATAACTCCGTGGAATCGGCTTCGAGGCGTGACACTTGATGGAGGGGAAAATGGCTGGAGTGCGGGTCTGGTAGGGAAGATCAGGACTCAGTGGGATGATATAATTCAGGCCGTTCTGTTCATTCATTGCAACATCCATCAACAAGCACGCTGTGGGAAAGACTTATATTTGTTGTGTACTCAAACCAGTCGTTTTTGACATCAGCTTCATCCGAGGACATGATCTCAAGCACCGCCAGTTGCAGTCGTTTCCGGAAGACATTGATTCCGAATTCTTTGCTTTACATTACCTTAGTTGCGGTAAAGTTCTAGTACGTTTTTACAAGCTCCTGCATGAAAAAATCAAATCTGACCTATAGCTGTCAGATCCAATCTGGCTGTTAAAGATAGCATTTATGGTCGATATCACGTCCCACATGAATGAGCTGGACTTGAAACTGAAGGGAAAGGACAAGCTCATATGTGATTTATACAGAATCCTCGCAGGGTTTCGGCGAAAGTTGTCATTATTTGAAATACAAATGGAAGGAGAAACTTTTTCTCATTTTAACTGCTTCAAGGAGTTTTGCTCTACGATCGCCGAAGACACCTCGTTCGAGTCTCCGAGAGCAATTATTCGTGAACAGAAAAATTACGTTTTGGAGAGATTTTCAGATGTTGATAAATTGACAGTGAAATTTTTCTCTTCCAGAATCCGTGTGATTGCAACCTTGATGGTGTTCCAGATGAACTACAGTTATAACTAATTGCCTTGCAGGCAAATGACTTTTTCAAAAAGAAGCATAGGGTAGGACAACTTGTCGGATTTTACCGCCCCCTATTTGATGCTGAATTTCATGACTTGAAAATATTTGCAGCTGTTATGGCATCAGTGTTTGGAACAACTTATACCTGTGAGCAAACATTTTCAAGAAGTAAGTACGTGAAATCAACTCATCGAACGAGATTGACCGATGAACAATTGGAAGCAATTCTCTTTATCAGTTACAGGCATTTCAAAGCAAACATTGGTGACATTGTGAAACCCAAAGTTCAATTTCAAAGATCTCACTAATTTCTTCCCATCCCTTTGCAACTTCCAGATGTGCACACGTAAATGAAGAAACTATACTAACTTTTAGTTACCGTCGCCTCTCTTAAGATGATTTTCACTTCATAAAACACGTTGAAATTCTTTCATTTGTTGTACTTTGCATGCCACTCACCCATATTTACGACGGAATGTGCAACACAGTTTGTAGCAGTTTCGTTAAGTAGCTATGTTTTAGCCTTTCAGTACTGTGCAAAAATCCAATACGACCAGCGGCCGGTACTTCGTCCCCAATCCGATCCGCTTAGAAAAAAGGTTGGTGACCCCCGTCATAGAGGGATCAGACTGACCCCATTGCCTTTAGGATGCATGCCTGTCGTTTTCCACAGATTGTATGGTACACATGAAAGCCAAATTTGCGAGGAGCAAGCCGGGTTTCGTCGAAATCGAGGATGCAATGACCACAGATGCAAATTACGTCAGTTGTTGGGACACCGTCATATTCATTGGTGACCAACCGCAGTCGTGTTTCTCGACATCCAAGATGCCTTCGTTTCGGTGTACCCGAGAAATACGTAAGCTTTGCCAGAGTGTAGGTTTATGGCAAACTGTCGCCGCCCTTCAATATCTCCAGTGGTGTGGAACAAGATTGCCCGCTGTCACCTTTCCTTTCCGATCGAAGAAGTCCTGGAATCAGCGTTAACTGGACAAAGCCTACAAGGCGTAGAGCGGCTTGTTGATGAGCGAATTCTTGATTAGGCATATGTCGACGAAATTGCCCTAATCCATGACAGCTCCCAAAGTTGTCAAGCAGCACTGGACAATTTAAGTGTCAATCGTTTCAGGCTATGTATTGCACTCTTGAAATGCAAAGTTCTTACCCAAGATTGACAGGAACCGATCCTTGTGCTGACCCTTGGTGGTGATCAGCAAGTCGTTCGGATATTCAAATATCTGGGCCGCTATATTAGCGCCTGTGAAATAGAAGCCGTCACGAACCGTATAACAAAAGCTCGAGGCGCATTTACCAATCGCCACTATCTGCTGCGCCAACACAGTATACAACGCAACCGTGTGCTCAACCTACCTGTGCGGTTGCGCAACCTGACCCACCAGGTCGATGGACATAAAGAGGCAAGCTACGTTCGACCACCGCAGTTTTCCTAGTTTAGCTCATATCTGGTGGGGACAATGCTCGAGCAATGAGCGTGTTCAGCGTCGTGTATCCGGTGCAGGAAGAGCGGGTGAAACGAGCAGCACAGTTATATTGCGCACTAGGCTCTAATGCCTGGGCCACGTGTTGCGCATGCCAGCACCCGCTACATGCGATGCTTGCGCGACCGAGGTCTGGATGGAAGAGGACGGGTGGCCACGCGATGAGGTGGTCAGGAGGAAAGAAAAAATGCACTTCAAAAGTAGTATCGGTTGGTGTTGTCCCACTGCCGAACTGCGGTCAAAAGGAAGATGAACACGTGGCCTTAAAGATCATAACCCTACCTTGTGATCTTGGAGTCACGAGTTTGAGCCTGCATAGGGGACCGGGCCACCCTCGTAGTATTCTTGGCCAACGTACGACTGGTGGTTGCGCGGCAGAGAAGTGTCGATACTGTGTACCGCCGTACTACTAATGCTTCCCTTCTGGGTTGGATACACTTGTTGACATGGCGAGGAGCCGACCACAATGGCGTTTGCGTTGCGAGTTTCTTTGTCTTTCTCACACAAGCTTCGCTTCCCTTTCAGCCCACGATTTCATACTCTATACATAAAGTGAAACTTAACATTATGCTACGTTTTTTAGTTTTTTATATTCTGCAATGTTTAGTATTTTGATTTTTGGATTGCGCCCGAATCACTGAGGTGCGTTTCTCACCCGTAGCTAACGCGTATTGATGAGGAGGACACTCAACAGAGGAAAGAAAAAGTTAAGAGCATTGTGTGATCCAAAGGACCAGGTGGATTTAGCATTGGTAAAAAGATACGCAAGGAAATCAATAAGGCAAATCAAAGTCTTTACATTAAATATAAAAGGAGTTTGAAAACTCACAACAGGGACGCGCTGCAACCCAGGTCGTCTTTGAATGTACAAATCATTACGCACCTGAAACAGACAATGAAGGTATGGCAAGATGCACATTATATGAAGAGGAAAGCCTGCTGCCTGAACATCGAGGTATGCAAAAAATACCAACCTAATGTGCTAAACAGAACTCTTATACGTCCCTGATTTAGACGGAAACTACAGAGAATCACAGATGCACCCAAAATAAAGCATACTAACATAGCAAAACCATGAGTCAGTAATGCGGAACATTGGCAGAAAGCAGAGAGAAGGACAGACGGACCCCTGAGGCGAGCGCAGTTGTAGCTCAGCTTGTCCGTGTGCACAGCACTCTTTCAAACAGAAATACCGCAAAATCGTATGCCACACCAGGTCAAGAGAAGCGAAATACTTGGTAAGGAACAACGGAAACATAAACTATCAGAGAACCTCGAGAGCAGGAGAAAACGTTGGTCGTCAACGAATAAACAAGGGCAATGAAAACAAAGTTGAATGGGTAGCATCAAATACGGAAGTAGTAGCACGATGAATCTTGTTGCTGCACTGACAAATTAAATAAATATGCAACGAGACTGGACCTTAACGTGGTGCGACGGTTTGCGTACCTCAGTGACCCACTGAGCTATACTGGGTGATGCCTCCAAGCATCTTGAGAGCTACTCCTACCAGGTTGGTCAATGGTGAGAGGTCAGACAAACTCAGTCTCCTGGTCCTCCAGGTTGAGGGTTTGAAATGGGATGGCGTCCATTTCTGTAAAACTAAATCACTGTCACCCTGCTGCCTTGCGGACAGGCTTTTGAGCCAAAGGCTTTGGGTGAGGACCCTAATCGTCCTCCTGTCTAGGTCTGGGCGCCCTGGCAGTATCCCAGCCCACATACAACCATGACATTTTCTTCAAACATAAACTTCATCCTGCATCGGCCGTCGCGCAGATTATCAAGGGTCGCCTTATCTGCTGCATACAGCAGGGCGGATAAGCGAAAACATGCTACTGCTGGCGCCTCCCTTCTTTCTTTTCCACCTTTTTCTCTTACTCCCATCCCGGACCCCATTACTAACCTTCCTTCTATAATTCCCAGCTTAATTGACAGCAACCGAAGTGCTACTGGAGTACCATCTGCAGCCACCATCCCACAGCACCTATCGGACGCCTATCGGCAAAAGTCCCTTATAAGGCCACGCTATCCCGTTTCCATGGCGACATTCAATGTCCGCACTCTAAGACAAACAGGTCAGCAGGCTACACTCGCACGCACCTTGGACACACTGGGTGTTGATGTGTGTTGTGTGTCCGAAACTAGGATTAATGACCCTAACGGGGTTATCGAATTGACTGCACCCGGCTTATCCTCTCGTTATTGGTTGCACGCATCCGGAGACGCCGATGCGGCACTCACGGGTCAAGTTGGTGTAGGTATCATTCTCAGCTCCAAGGCTGAGGCATCGTTGGTTGATTGGATTCCGGTGAACAGCCGTTTATGTGCAGCCCGTTTGACGACATCAGCTAAGGTGAATTCGCGAAGTAAAACAAAACGCTGTTTGTTTGTGATTTCCGTTTATGCTCCCACCGACTGCAGTTCTAATGCAGTCAAGAACACTTTCTATCACGAACTGAACGCGCTACTATGCAGTGCTACTAGTTCAGATATTATAGTACTTGCAGGGGATATGAACGCACAAGTAGGGCGTCTGAGCTCTTCAGAAGCTCAGCTGGGTGGTAATTATGGGCTTAACTCCGAATGGACTGACAACGGTGAGCGTCTGCTGCAACTGTGTGCGGAGCACCAGTTGTTTCTTACTAGCACTGCTTTTAGACACAGTGGGCGCCGAAGTGCCACTTGGCGTCCATCTGTAGCTGGCCAGCGATGAACCCAAATTGACCACATAGCCATAAGTTACAGGTGGCGCGGTTCCATTCTGGATTGCCGCTCGTACTGGAGTACCTGTGTCGACTCTGATCATGCCTTGGTACGTTGTCGTTTCTCCATGTACTTTACCGGAAGGCGCACAAAGCGTCTCCCCCGATTGGCAACGGAGAAATTGTCCCAGCCCTCGGTCAGGCAAGCCTATCAAGAAGCACTGCATAGCGAACTCTCGTTGTCTTGTCCTAATGACACTGAACTTCAGTGGAATAGGATATCGGCCGCTATGCACGACGCAGGAGCATCTGTTTGTGGCACTATCAGTCGTCACCGCACCAGTCACTGGATATCCGAGAGGTCCGTGAACCTGTTGAAAGCTAGAAGACACCTCCCGGCTGGTTCTGAACACAATGTGACCAGACGGGCTATTAGGCGTGAACTAAAGCGGAGCCTACGTGCTGACAAGGAAGCCTGGTGGACCAGTAGGGCTCAAGAAATGGAGGAGGCAGGAGCAGTAGGCAATTACCGGAAGCTCTTCCAGCTAATCCGCACCACTGGTCCCAGAAAACCAGGCGTCAGTGAGACAATCAGAGACAGTGCAGGTGCGCTGATACACAATAAGGAGCGCCGTATGGCTCGTTGGGCTGAACACCTTGAAGATCAGTTCAGCTGGCCTCCTGCTCCCGGACTTCTTCCTACTCAGGTGATGCAGGACGTGCCATGGACGGTTAGTTTAGAGCCTCCGTCGGAGGCCGAGGTCCGAAACGCGATCACAGCCCTCAATCGTTTTCGTGCCGCTGGCCCGGATTCCCTTCCACCTGCACTATTTAAGGATGGAGGTGAGGTCCTTTGCAAAGCACTGACCTCCCTATTCGAACGTATCTGGAACGAAGAGTGTGCCGGCTAATTAGAGCGAATCGATTATGGTGGCAATATACAAGAAGGGCAGTCGCACAGACTGTGCGAACCACAGGGGTATTAGCCTAACGCCAGTTGTGACAAAATTACTGGCCTCGATTATCGTTCGTCGCCTCACTGCAGAACGGGAAGCTAAGATTAGAGAAGAGCAGGCCGGTTTTCGCCCAGGACGTGGCTGTATAGACCATATATTTACTTTGCGGCAGGTGCTAGAGCAGCGCCACGCATATCGCAGACCGACAATAGCTGTGTTCCTCGATTTCAAGAGTGCGTTCGATTCAGTCGATCGATAGATTCTGTTCGAATTACTTGCGCGGAAACGTGTTCCCACGGAATATGTGAACATCCTTCGTGCTCTATACTCGAACACTAGAGGCCGCGTCAGGGTCTATGGTGTCCTATCGGATAGCTTTTGGACTACAAATGGTGTTCGACAGGATTGTCCAATTTCCCCGTTTTTGTTCAATTTCGTCGTGGATTCTATCATGGAGTGTTCCCTTGCGGAATCTCATGATGCAGGCGTTGAAGTGCTGCCTGGTGAAAGGTTAGTTGACCTAGATTATTCGGACGAGATCTTCTTGCTTTTCGACGATTTTGCGGCGGCACAACCAACCCTGAATAGCCTGTCCAGAGTGGTCCCATTATTTGGAATGCACTTCGTACCTTCAAAGTGCAAAGTGTTGCTACAGGACCACCAGCCACTCGATGACCCCTTGACGCTTGTTAACGAGGAACTCGAGGTGGTTGATCAATTCACTTATCTTGGCAGCTGCATCAGCAATGATGGGCGCATTGAAACTGACGTGAGCTCACGCATTGCAAAGGCCAGAGCTGCCTTCTTGGACCTGCGTCATCTTTGGTGACAGAGGAGAGTTTCCCTCCGTTTGAAAGGCCGTGTATATAAGGCCACAGTGAGGGCCGTTCTGCTCTTTGGTAGTGAAACTTGGCCCCTTCGGTCTGAAGATCTGAGGCGCCTTCAACTCTTTGATCATCGTTGTCTGCGAAGCATTGCTGGTGTCGGATGGCAGCAGCGTGTCCGCAACGATGATGTGCGTAGGCGAGTACTAGGTAGTGATAATTTTGCGAGCTCCCTAGAACAACAGATAGCACTGAATAAGTTGCGGTGGCTCGGGCACGTGCTATGCAGGCCTGGTCACCACTTACCTAGGAGGACCTTGTTCAGTCTACCAGGTGTAGGATGGCGCAAAGCTCGAGGTGGACAGAAGTTGACTTGGCAGCGGGAAATGATGTCACTGATGACCAAACTGGGTGCCGTTGGTCCGTCTCGCCTTCCGGGTTGGAGTCCACGTGACTCACCTTGTGCTTGGCTCGAGACTTTACAGGACATGGCTCGCAAGCGACACCAGTGGTGCGTCTGCTGCCGTCTCCTAATCGGATTGTCTGTTTAAAGTGTGTATGGTGCTGAGTTATCTGCGGGGTAATGGCTGATTATGACGCGTGGCAGTGAAAGCCGCAAGGAAGCTGTCTCGCCGATGCCGCCTTATCTTTGCACGATAGCCAGCTGTTTGTGACGGAATGTTGTCTACACAAGGTGTAGGCGCCTTGACCCTGAATTTTTTTCTTAGGGCATTAAGGTTTTCAGCTAAGTCCCCCTTCTCTCCCTCTTCTTATTCTTTATTTCATAGGTCCTCATGGTTGTATGGCAGCGAAGCATCAGTTCAAATGGCTGATGTACTGCTGTTGATGATGATGATGTCTCACTGACGCCTGGTTTCCTGGGAGCGGTGAAGAGGATCAGCTAGAAGAGCTTGCGGTAAATGCCCACTGCATCCGCCTCCCCCATTTCTTGAGCCCTACTGGGCGACCAGGCTTCCTTGTCAGAAGGCAGGCTCCGCTTTAATTCGCATCTAGTAGTCCGTCTGGTCACATTGTGCTCTGAGCCAGCCGGGAGGTTTCCTCTGGATTCCAACAGGTTTACCGACCTCTCGGAAATCCAGTGACTGGTGCGGTGACGATTGATAGTGCCACAAGCAGATGCTTCTGCGTCATACATGGCGGTCGAGATCCTATTGTACTGAAGCCCAGTGTCATAAAGACAAGACAGCGAAAGTTCGGTATGCATAGCGTCTTGAAAGGCTTGCCTGACCAAAGGCTGAGACAATTCCTCCATTACTAATCGAAAGAGATGCAAGATGCGCCTCTCAGTTAAGTTTGTTGTATTGTACATTTCTCTCTTCCCAATTGTACCTTTCTATTCCCAGTTCCATTATTTATTGCGCAGGTTTATTTCAACTGACCAAGAACCGATAAAAAGACTTGTTCGGGTTTCAATTCGCCTTCTGGTTTCGGCTACGGATGTTGTGCTGTTGATCGTCGGTCTGCCTGCGTCCAGCGATCATCGGATCTACCGCGTCGAATTCCTGTGCCGATTAAGTTTCATCTTCCGACCGGATTGTGCGAGTAACTGACGGCCTACCGTGGATCGTGCTTTACAGAAACTCAGGTTCAACATTCTTATTTTATAGACTGGGAGTTCTTTTATGTAGTCGATCTCGAAGTTTGGCCTTTCCAATGCAAGTGCAAGGAGAAACAAAAGTGTAACAAGGCGCGGTCAGAGTCGATGCACATCTTCCAGAACGAGCGGTAATCTAGAATGAAATCCAGCTACCTGTAACCTAGGGAGACGATGCCATTCAATCCCAAGTAACAGGCGTCGGCTAGGATGGGCGAGTTTCGGACGAGTGACGCCAGTGTGTGCACCAAGAGCAGTGATGCAACACCCGATGATTCCAGAATCAAATCAACTGTGGCGTTGAGCGAGGCAAGAGGCAAACTCGGCTAACGCCTTCACAACTTTGTCAGCCTGGATGCTAGTGTTGTAAATTCAGCACCAGTCATATCTAGGCGCTTTGTTATCTGAGCGCAGCAGCCGTCACAGCTGAATAGCAAGCTTACGCTGGATGACAGTAGTATGCACTGGTCAGGCTTGAGACCGGTAGAACGTTCGTGATACGACACGGCAGTTTCTTTTACCGCAAACGGCACATGGGACGCACCCGCGTCGGCGGTTAGCAAGACATCGTGTCTTGGGTCTGACGTAGGAATGAATATTTAACGAGTGACTCTCCGAAGAGACAACAGCTGCGTTCTCTTCATCAAAAAGGTCTCAATTGAACGAAGCGCTCGAGAGAACTCCGGTGTTAGCATAGAACAGTTATTGGCAAAATCAATGCATAATGGTTTTAGACTAAGCAAACTAGGGCAAGTAGATTTTAAAAAGCAGTTGGAACGCGCATATCACACGTTGGATGAGAAACAAGATAAAAATGACTCGCAACTAACCGTTTTCAAGGGTAACACGAACGGCACTCGTTTCGTTGGTGCACTATTTGTGACACTAGTCTTACGCCGCAGAATACTTCTGGCGTCCCGAACATTGCTGGTGTTAATGCGTCTCCTGTTTTTCAAAACAGACCTCGCATCCCTCGCAGGCGTACTGTTAGACAGCTTCTGACGCAGATCCCTGGTAGTAAGGGTTCTTCCAGATAGTGATATTCCCAAACGCGATCTGAATGCATTTTTCATCATATAAAACCCGAAGATACCTGACTGGCTTTTTTCTTAGGCGTTTCTCAAATGTAGCGCCCATGTTGAGAGACGCCGACAAAGCGCGCTGTTGGATAGTTAGTACTGCCTGCAATGTTTCTTCGGTGAAGCTCAAGGTCAGGTAAGGTCAGGTTCCCAAGACAGTATGTACTTCTGCTTTATAGCGACCTGGTTCTTGCGATGACAAGTAACCAAGAGGTCCCAAGACCCCTAATTTGAATCACCTTTCTTGCTTATCTAAAGAAAATAAAGCCACAATAAGCCATCTTTTTTAGAATAGCATGCGGCTAGAATTCCACAATTCAGGCAGGAAGTTGTATTAAACGACATGAAGCCACCATAAAGAATAACCATTAGCGTAGTTGGAAAGAACGTACGGTTAACAATCTTTCCGTCCTCTTGTTCATCTTATACAACACCACAGCAGCGCGCCTCCGTAACGAAAGCGGGGACTGCGGTTACGACGATGCTAATAATAAATCGATCGGCCATTACACTTTTATTTTATTATGGGAACTTTTTATGCCTCTGCAAATCTGCAACCAATAGTCCAAATTGCTTAACAACTTTATTTTAGTGATTTGTGTGTTGAAATGCTACAAAATGGTCGCCAACGAAGGGTTTTACTTTCAAAACTGAACATACCGGCATTTCCGTTAAAAGTTCAAGTTCAAGTTCAAGTTCAAGCGGGACTGGAACGATAGGATAGATCTCGTGAGTGTTCCTTCTTCGGCGGGTGGTTGAACCAGGAGTTGGCGAACTTTGAAATACTGATGGACCTAAAACAAAGACCGCATCACACCCTGTCCAACCAATTAATGCCCACGTATCCTGCCCTAGCAGTTCCTGCTGGGTCGGTTACGTGAAGTAAGAAAGAGAAAAAAGTAAACGCAGGAGGCAAAAGAGAAAGTGGTAAGAGCTAAGCAAATGGAATACCAAGATATTTGAGTCAATAAAAAAAGAACTGAAAAATGAAGGTGAGTCAGCTAGGAAAAAGGAAAGGTTTGCTGTTGCCACCCAAGAGCATCGAGTTGGCGCGCAAAACCCTTAACCGTAGGTTCCCTAACCACGTGATCTGGAAGCGAATTCCAGCGATCTATAACTCGGCGCGATAGACGAGTTTCCGTCCTAATCCTATCAGACCGTGGTTTATGCAGTTTCAGTGGGTGACCGCGGAGACTAGGTAACGTAGCGGGACTAAAAAGCCCTGACAAGTCCGGGCCAATCTTACCCGTCAAAATACGATAAGTGAGAATCAGGTCCCCTCTTATCCTTTGGTTGTGCATGGAGTACATACCCAAACTGAGCAAGCGTTCAGGATACGTCTGTCCCCGTAGACCCTGCACTAACCGAGTGCCCACTCGTAACACCCTCTCCAAGTCCATTTTGTCTCGGTTAAGACATGGTGGACAAGCCTGAATACAATATTCCAGGTGGGGTCGGACGAATGTCGAAAATAGCTTCACAAACAACTTGGCCGTTAAGATTCCGAAAGAGCGGCGGATAAACCACATCATACGAAACCCTCGACAAGCAGCCTTCTTCCAGTTGTCTCCAGAATGAAGTGCTGATGCGTGTACGACTCCTAAATCAACCTGCTGAGTGACAACAGGGAGTTCACCACCGCCGAGAACATATCGGGTGGGAGGATTAGCAGCTCCGATTCGGAGAACAGAGCACTTCGCCCTATTTATAAGCATCAACCATAAGATAGACCATTCCCAGAGTCTATCCAAGGCACGCTGAATTGCCTCAGGACCCCCCGGGATATCCACAATATTCCAGAGCTTAAGGTCGTCAGCAAACATTAATGATGACACCCCTAGCTCTCCCGGCAAATCATGTACATAGATCGCGAACAACAATGGCCCCAATACCGAGCCCTGCGGAACGCCACTAAGGACAGCTTGCCTGAGCGAAAGGCTACGCCCCACCCGTACGCACTGTTCCCTCCCCTCAAGGAAGGCAGACACCCATTGAAGGGCGCGACCATATATCCCGTAGGATCTCAAATTTAGTGAGAGACGAAGATGTGGAACAGTGTCAAAAGCTTTCGAGAAATCTACGAATAGCACGTCTGCAGCGTGGCCACTGTCTACCGCTTCGGCCCAGCTTCCACGAGCTACAAGTAAATTAGTCTGACATGAAAACCCTTTGCGGAATCCATGTTGTGCAACACTGAGAAGGTTGAATCGATTCAGGTGGTTCTCCACTGAATCCCTTATCAGCTTCTCGAACAATTTGACTACTACGCTTGTCAAACTGACAGGCCGGTAGTTCGCGGGTAGAGCGCTGTCACCGCCCTTAAAAATCGGACAGATGTTTGCCTCCTTCCATTCCGAAGGTAGGCTGCAGCTGTCCAGCGATATTGAAAATACGCACGTGAGCGGACCACTCAGCTCAGTGGCCAGTTCATGCAACAGCTTCGGATGAATTGAATCAGGACCGGAAGCTTTAGAGGGATTAATGCCTTGCAGTAGCTCGAAGACCTGAGTCTCCGTTATGCTAAATTCAGCTAAGCAAGAATCCTCTGGAACTCTTGAAACCAATTCAACCTGCGGTAAAGAGGTCTCCCGAGCAAAGACCGCAGTATACTGATCACTCAGTATACAAGCCTTGTCATAGTCAGTTTGCGCAGGGGTCCCGTCTGCTCGCAATAAAGCTGGTATAGACAGTTTTGCACTGCTGCGTCTTTTAACGTAAGCAAAAACTTCTTGGGATTAGCTGCGGCCGAGTCCGCTAAACCCTGCTCGTATTGGAGACGAGCAGTTCTGAGATGTTGCTTACATTTATTCCTATTCTCTCGATAACTATCATAGGTACTGGCTGATGGAGCTGCTTGGTAGGTTCGCCAGCATCTAGACCGTTTCTTGAGTAGGTACTTGCCTGTGGTATCTATCCATGGAGGCTGTGCCCTTAACCCTCTTTTCCTAATGAGTGGAATATAGGGTGCGGAAACCTCCGTAAGGTATGCCTTAAATTTATCCCAGGCTAACTGGACAGAGTCAGCCATCGAAATCTCACAGTTCAGAACTGAAGCCTTAGTTCGCATTGCACTAAAGTCCGCCCGCCAAATATTCGGAAGTAATTCAACAGCGGTCTCTTGGTGCCTTGAAAGAGCACATCGAAAGGATATGCATACGTGATCGCTGGACCCTAGAGGTGCACCGCATGAAACGTCAGTCACGAAGTCCAGGGACTTAGCGAAAACCAAATCCAAAGTAGATGGCATTTGGTTGTCCATATACCTAGTGGGAAAGTCAACGAACTGGTGCAAAGGCACTTGGAGAGTCAGTTCAAGGAAGTCTGCACCGAATGTTCCTAATGCCGAATTGCAAGAAAGATCGGCCCAACAGGCTTCCGGGAGGTTGAAATCCCCTAGAACTAAACACTTATTCGCAGACTGAGTGCGAATAAAGTCAAGTATACCCCTGGAGGAACTTCCAGGACTTCTGTATACCACTATAACTGTAAACTGGGTAGAGGAAGTGCACAAAACAGCCGATAGGGCTTCAACAGTCTGATCCGACGACTGGAATGTGCAAGTCCTCAAAACATCTAAGTTACAGCTCACCTACAGTACAACGCCTCCGCCTTGGCGACCAACGGAGTGATCAGTTCTAAGCAGCGCGTAGCCAGGTAAATATACCTCACCGTCCGTGATATCCAGAGACAACCACGTCTCAGTGAAAGCAAGTATGTCGGGACGAGATTTGTCTACAAGTAGACCCAACTCGTGCACCTTGTTCCTTAGGCTACGCACGTTGCTAAGTGCTACCTCAAGGAAGTCGGCACGACCATCCCTGGGTCGTGCGCCATCAGGATTGGTTCTGATAGGGCGGAAAGTAATTTCCGGCTGACCACCTGAAAACCCACCAGACGGAGGCCTTGTTCATCAGCCGCCCGTCTAGTTTTGAGGTCTTTGATAGCCTCCTTTAACTTCAACCTATCTGCCAGTGGGAGGTCCGGCTGAACGCTGACACCACTACCCTTAAGTTTGAATGCAAATCGCAGTAACGATTTGCGTTTCTCCGGAGTAGAAAGGACCACGCGAAGTAGTCGGGGTCGTGGATTTGGCGTAGCGATAGGAACGTTCCCCAATCTGGTCAGCTTTCTGATAGTGACACCAGGGAAACCAGGTGGAAGCAGCTTGCTGACACACAGTTTCAGCCACTTGATGTCATCCAAGATGCGTTCCCTTGGGAGAACAGCCTCAGATTCAGTAACGTTACGGAATATAACGCTAGGTTTATAACATTTGTAAATTAAATTTAGACCCTGCGTAAAGTGCAAGCAGCTGTATATCTAAATACAAATCCATCCTTGAACGGGGCGGGAACTAAATGGAATTTCTTTGGTGGCTCCCTCCAGAGGATTTTGTTGGAGTCCCTTTAAATACCTCGGTATATTTACTTCAAGTAAGACTAAAACGAAAGTAAAACCAAAAACCGTGGACGTTTTGAGGGTTAAAAAACCGTAAAATCCAAGTTCAAAATACTAAAGGACGTATTTTTGTTACACTACAACCAAAAATATTTTCCGCATCTCACTCTGTCCTACCAAATCATGCCCAAGTATCCTGCCCTAGCAGACCTTGCTGGGCCGGTTACGTGAAGTAAAAAGAGAAAAATGTTAACTCAGTAGGCAAGGAGCGAGTGTGGAAAGAGCGCAGCAGGTAAAATACCAAGGTATTTTCGACATAAAAATAACAAAATGGAAGTTGAGTTCGGTAAGGAAAAGAAGGGTTTGGTGTTACCACCAAACAGCACCGAGCTGGTGCGCAACACCCTTAACCGTTAGTTCCACAACCACGTTAGCTGGAAGCAAGGTCCAGCGATCCATATATCGGCGCGACAGTCTTGTTTCCGTCCTCATTCTCTCAGACTTGGGTTTATGCAATTTCAGTGGTTGCCCGCGGGGGTTTACGTGACCTAGCGGGACTTAACAGCCTTGACAACTCAGACCCGAGCTTACCCGTCGAAATACGAGGAATAAACATCAGGTCCCCTCTTTACCTTCCGTAGTGCATGGAGCATGCCCCCAAACTAAGCAAGCGTTCAGGATACGCCTGTCACCGTGAACATCCAAACTAACAGCGTGCCC